CGCATGGATCATGGAGGTGCGAGCAACCTCCATGACAAGACCAATGCGGCGCTCGGCAATCCCATTATGATGTGGAGAGGTCGGAAGCGTGTACGTCTGGCGGATGCCCTCAGCACCACAGAAGTCCTCAAGGAGGTGGGAGCAAAACTTACCACCTCGGCCAGAGTGCAGCCGCAGAACAGGGAGGTCCTCACGGAACCGAGCGCGAAGCTGGAGACGAACAGCGCGGATCCAGCGGATCAAGACACCGCAGACATCTGCCTTGCTCTGCAAGGGGAAAGACCGTGGTGTAGCGCGTGTAGTCGTCGACAACCAGCAGAAAGTAGCGCTCGCCACCCTGTCCAGTGACGCGGGCGGGGCCCCACACGTCCATGTGCAGGGTTTGCAGAGGAGCAGTGGTAGGAGGAAATGAGGAGGAGTGAGGAGCGGCGCGCTGCCGCCCCTCGACGCAGGGAAGGCAGGGCGGTGCAAGCGACCTCGGAAGCGGGGGCAGGGACTTGGGGAGACCACACACAAGGAGACGCGAATGCATGCCACGCAAGCGTGGCAGGAAGGGGTGGCCAAGACGGTGGTGCCAGAGGAGAGTCTGGTGCGTGAGGAGACGACACGATCAAGACGAGGCGACCTCAACCGACGCAGCTACCTAACCTGACTTAGCTACCAGTGCAGACTCAGTGGTCAGTGTGTACAGGCCAGACCCAGGCCTCCGAGTGAACGTGGCAAGGTGCTCACCAATGCGCGAGTCTGTACAGATCGCCACTAGCTCGCCTCCAGGCTGGGTGACAGTGACCCGCCGTACAAGGGAGCACAGTAGACCCACCCCCCTTGGTTGAGCCTTTTGAGATATCTTCTGACTCCTCTGGCCTAGCTGAGGGGGGTGACCCCACCGCTGACGACACGGCGGCCACTCGCCGCTCTCCACGCTTGGAGACCCCCCCTAGTTTTCCGCCTCGGCCGGTCTTCGCCGCCTCCGTAGCCTGCTGCTGTGGACTCTGGAGCTGAGACTGCTGGTGCTGAGCCTGGGGGTGCTGAGACAGAGGATGAGGGGGGGTGCTGCGACTGGGAGTGCTGCGACTGGGGGTGCTGGTTCTGGGGGTGCTGCGACTGGGGGTGCTGACTCTGGGGGTGCTGTGAGTCCTAGTGGCGGTGGAGCTGTGGGTGACCCTGCTGGAGGTCCTGGAGCTGGACAGCCACCGCAGCCTGATCTACTTGAGACGCTCTCGCCGCAGGCGATTTGTGCGTGGATCGTTTGGCGAGGCAGTCCTGGTGGTGGAGGGTACGGTCCTGCTGGTGCTGGAGCTGCTAGTCCTGGAGGTACTACTGGTACTAGAGGTCCTGCTGGTGCTGGAGGTACTGGAGCTGCTAGTCCTGGAGGTACTGGAGGTGCTGCTGGTGCTGGAGGTGCCGGAGCTACTAGTCCTGGAGGTGCTACACGTGCTGGAGGTGCGGGACCTACTAGTCCTGGAGGTACAGCTAGTGCAGGAAGTGCTGGAGCTGCTGGCACTGGAGGTGCTGGTGCTGCTGGTGCTGGAGGTGCTGCTGGTGCTGGAGGCGCTGGAGCTGGAGGTACTGGAGGTGCTGGAGCTGCTGGTCCTGTAGGTGCTCATACTGGAGGTGCTGGAGCTGCCGGAGCTGGTGATGCTGCTGGTGCTGGAGGTACTGGGGGTACTGGAGCTGCTGGCACTGGAGGTGCTGGTGCTACTGGTGCTGGAGCTGCGGGAGCTGCTGGTCCTGCAGGTGCTCGTACTAGAGGTACTGGATCTGCCGGAGCTGGTGGTGTTGCTCGTGCTGGAGGTGCTACTGGAGCTGCTGGCATTGGAGGTGCTGGTGCTGCTGGTGCTGGAGGCGCTGGAGTAGGAGGTACTGGAGGTGCTGGAGCTGCTGGTCCTGGAGGTGCTCGTACTAGAGGTGCTGGAGCTGCCGAAGCAGGTGGTACTGCTGGTGCTGGAGGTGCTGGAGGTGCTACTGGAGCTGCTGGCACTGGAGGTGCTGGAGGTACTGCTGGTGCTAGAGGTGCTGGCGCTGCCGGAGCTCGTGGTGTTGCTAGTGCTGGAGGTGCTGGAGGTGCTACTGGAGCTGCTGGTGCTATGGTGCTGGAGGAGCTGGAGCTGCTGGTCCTGCCCCGCGCCGACTGTTTTTCTGCCCGCAGCCGCAGTCGTCCCTGCCGCTGCCTGACTCGGACCTTCACTAGGTTCTTAGTCTCCCGTCTTCCACTGGCCTCACTCCACCTCTCCTGTGTCCACCGATAGACTAGTCTCAGCCACTGCTACTGCCTGGCTCCTTGCTGCCTGCTCCTGCTCCTCACACTGAGGTGACTGAGTCCCTGACTGAGTATCGTGAGCCTGAGACTCGTGCTTCCACACCTGTTCGTGCTCGTCGTGTCGCTCGTCCTCGTCCTCCTGCTGTCCCAGGCACTCACGGTATGGCACTTCGTCCTTCCTCTGTTCCACAGCGTGTTGTCCTGCCTGAGCCTCACGCGTCCTCTCTTCCGCACGTTCTTGACCCTGAGTCCGACCTTGCTTGTGCTGCCAGTCCTACTGTCACTCGTCTCCTCGCTACTGTCGTCATTGACCCTGACTTTGAGTCTACTGCAGCGTTTGCCCTAGTCACTGAGCTGGTCGAATTTGCAGCTAGGAGTCGTCTCGACCACGTCGCGAGTCTTGTTACTGAGTCTGAGTCTGTCTGTCCTCCGGCCGTCGGGGGTGAGACTGCCCTTAGCAGTGACGTCCTTGAGGACAGGCAGTTTGAGCTTGAGTGTCTTGAGGCAGCTTTACCTCGTTTCGCATCCATGCTGCTTTGCCCTAAGGGAGACCCGGATGCACTTGACATCCCTACCGCGCGCTCTTACGCTGAGGCGATCGCGGGTGAGTACTCCTCTCAGTGGCAGACAGCCATGGACGCAGAGATGGCTTCCTGGAAGTCCACAGGCACCTACGTCGACAATGTTCCCCAGGCTTCCTGGGGCGAACATAGTCGATGGCATGTGGATTTTCAGAGTGAAGCGGCCACCGGGTTCTCCGCTTGCCTTCAAGGCGCGTTACGTTGCTCGAGTCTTCAGTCAGCGACAGGGGGTCGACTTCTACCAGACCTTCTCCCCCACCCCGAAGATTTCTACTCTTCGGATGGTGCTGCACGTTGCAGCACAGCGTGACTACGAGCTGCACTCCCTCGACTTCTCCACAACTTTCTTGCAGGGCAGCCTTCACGAGGAGATCTGGCTGCGCCGCCAACCTGGTTTCACTGGGTCGTTTCCTTCGGGTACCCAGTGGAGCCTCCGGCGGCCAGTCTACGATTTTCGTCAGGCGCGCCGAGAGAGGCACGACACATTGAGGACTACACTTGCGGCTCTTGGGTTTGCTCCTTCCTCTGCTGACCCGTCGCTGTTTCTACGCACCGACCCTACCCTGTCGCCGTTCTAGGTTCTCGTGTACGTCGACGACTTGGTTTTTGCTACTCCTGACACTGAGGCACTGGCCCTAGTGAAGGCGGAGTTGCAGGAGAGACACACATGCACTGACCTGGGTGAGCTGCATAGCTATCTTGGCTTGCAGATCACCCGGGACAGAGCACGGTGCACCATCACCCTGACTCAGTCACACATGGTGCACCAGGTCCTTCGGCGCTTCGGCTTCGCGTGGTCCTCGCCACAGCCCACTCCTCTGTCTACCGGCCACTCGCTCTCAGCTCCACCTTCGGACGAGTCCGTAGAGCCGAGTGGTCCGTACCCAGAGCTTGTGGGTTGCCTCATGTACCTGATAACGTGCACACGACCTGACCTCGCATACCCCCTCAGCCTCCTGGCTCACTACGTGGCTCCCGGTAGACATCGAAAGGTGCACTTTGATGCTGCGAAGAGGGTACTGTGTTACTTGTGCAGTACATCGGGCATGGGGCTTGTGCTTGGAGGACAGGGTTCAGTGGTGTTCACAGGACACTCTGACGCTTCTTGGGCCGACGACCAGGCGACTCAGCGTTCGTCACAGGGTTACACCTTCAGTCTTGGCTCTGGTTCTGTCTCGTGGAGGTCCACTCATTCTTCTTCTGTGCTTGGTTCCAGCTGTGAGGCCGAGATCTACGCTGGGGCCATGGCTGCACAGGAGCTACGCTGGCTGACCTACCTGCTGACCGACTTGGGGGAGCGGCCTCGTTCTCCTCCAGTTTTGTACGTCGACAACAAGGCTATGCTTGCCTTGTGTCAGGAGCAGAGACTGGAGCACAGAACGAAGCACATTTCTCTTCGCTACTTTCTTGCTCGAGAGCTGCAGCAGCGTGGTCAGCTTCGTCTTTCTTACGTGGCCTGCTTCGTCTTTTTTACGTGGCCTCTCGGGCCAACACTGCTGATGTCTTCACCAAGGCCCTCGGGTCTGGTGATCTTCAGTATTTTTGCACTGCTCTTGGGCTTCTGCCCGTTCTACCTCACCTGCTTGTCTCTTGATCTTGCACTTGCTGTACACTGATATCTATATTTATACCTGCATATTTCCTCTTGCTAGGTTGTGACCAGTGTACTGCCTTGCTATTATAACTCTGCATGTGAACTGGCCTTGTGGCCGCTTGCTTATGCTCGGATTGTGTGGTGTCCTTGAGATCCACCCTGAGCTTTGCTTTGCTTTGCTCTGTTGTCTTGTTTGATTGGTCTTGTGACCGTCTTGTTGTCCCCCACCTAGCCTATGGGGGTGTGTCAAAGTACAATCTTACTTGTAAGCTATAGTGGGGCACTCCTTATGGGGTACAGCACTTCTAGGGTTAGTACTTGTACCCCAACTCTTGCTAATCCAATCATTCCTGCACTGTTATTCTGATACGTACTCGGTTAGAGTCGACTCCTGCACCGTACAGGAATGCCATCTCATTAAGTTTCATATCGCAACAATAGAGTCTTAAAGCCCGAGTCTAGAATGGTGTAGGCTTCTAAAATACTGAACTTGAAACTGGTTGGGCGAAGGGTGACGAGAGCAGAATTCGCCTGAAACAGGTGACGAAAGTAAGGAGGAGAGGGGCTAAGAGGGAAAGGAGGAGAGGGGCTGAGGGGGAAAGGAGGAGAGGGGCTGAGAGGGAAAGGAGAAGAGGGGCTGAGCGGGAAAGGAGGAGAGGGACTGAGAGGGAAAGGAGGAGAGGGACTGAGAGGGAAAGGAGGAGAGGGTCTGAGAGGGAAAGGAGGAGAGGTGCTGAGAGGGAAAGGAGGAGAGGGACTGAGAGGGAAAGGAGGAGAGGGACTGAGAGGGAAAGGAGGAGAGGGACTGAGAGGGAAAGGAGGAGAGAGGCTGAGAGGGAAAGGAGGAGAGGGGCTGAGAGGGAAAGGAGGAGAGGGACTGAGCGAGGAGGAGAGGGGCTGAGAGATAAAGGAGGAGAGGGGCTGAGAGAGAAAGGAGGAGGGGGTCTAAGAGGGAAACGAGGAGAGGGGCTGAGAGAGAAAGGAGGATAGGGGGGGACGCCCTGTGACAGGCGCGCTACCTCTCCTCCCCGGCACCCCCTGCGTCTTCTCTCCCGCACGCCGACCAAAGCTCTGGCTCCCAGGAGGAGACGGATTGAGGGGCGTCTACCGTGCCAACATGCTGCTCGCCACCTCAGGTAGAGACAACTCGGCGGCTGCCTTGGCAACGGCCGCGAGCGTGCTCTTGCTCCCTTCCGTTTTTCCCTTTGTCTCAACCTCCCTTTCCCCCGTGTCGTGGGTTGGCAACGGCCTGCGAGCGCGCGGGCTTCAGCCGTTGCTGCGCGCGTAGTCCCTGCGTGCATATTAGCGCTTCCGCCAGCATAGTGGCGCAGGCAGAAGCGTGGGAGGCGGAAGACGAGCTGAAGCGTAACGAGGAACCGATGGTAGAGTTATTGGAGTGAAAGGATGCGGTCCAGGCAGGGGAAGAGAAACAGTGGTGTGAAGACAGACGGGAGTGCCGCGCCCTACAAGGTGAGCGCGGGATGAGGGTGAGCGAGCGACGGAGTGATTCCACTGCGGGAGTTCATACGCGACGGGAGTGAGTGAGCGGGGGACGAATATGTGAGCACTGGGACGCATTGAGGGACGGGAGGCCGTGAGCGGCGAGAGTGAGTGTGCTGAACGGGAGTGAGTGTCACATAGAAGTGTGTGTGCGACTGGACTTGAGGCAAGGCGATTGTCCTGTGTCGGCGGTGGGTTAGTTTGAGCGACGGGGAGAGTGCGCGACGGATCGAGTGAGAGATGCAAACGAGGGACAGATGACGAGCGGCGGAGAGGGAAGGGAGGCACGGGAGGGAGGCGTGCTACGGCAGGAGCAAATGCGGGACGGAAGCGAGGCGCAGGACGGAAGGGACGGAGGGTGATGGGCGACGGGAGGGACGGGACGAAGGACGGAAGGCACGACCGGGATGGGAGTGATGGGCGCGGCGACAAACACAGACGCGACGAGGGCGACGGGAGGAGTGGGAACGACGAGCGCCACTAGAGAGACGGAACATATGAGTGCGTGTGGAGAAGCGGGAGCGGCGGGTACGACAGATTAGGTGGTGTATGAGATATCTTATGTGCGTACCGCGAGAGATCAGCTGCTTGGGGCGTAACGTGAGGGACGGTGGAGACCTATACTATGCAAAGAGACGGAAGTCCCATTACAAAATTCTGGGTGCTCGGCATAGGTATCGACCATTAACTATATTGTGAGCTACGGAGCCTACTACTCATCGAGTCTAGAAAGTGTCAAACTATATATGTCATATTACAATATGTAGGCTGTAGTGGGGTAGCCAATATGGGGTACAACCCCTTTAGGGTTTGTATTTGATTCATTCCTGCTCGTTAGTTTCTGACATGGTTTCAGAGCAGTAGGTCCGTAGGACCGTTTTTTCCGGGCCCACCATTACCTAGTGATCGACTGCGGTTGCCGCGTTACCCCACGCACTGCCCTGCGCTGCGCCGTCAGCGCGAGCCCTGCCCTGCCCTGCCTTGCGTCGCGCTGCCCCGCGCACGCCCTGCCCTGCCCCGCGTCACGCTGCCCCGCGCATGCCCTGCCCTGCCCCGCGTCGCGCTGCCCCGCGCACGCCCTGCCCTGCCCTGCATCGCGCTGCCCCACGCACGCCCTGCCCTGCCCCGCGCCCTGCGCGTCGTGCCCTGCTGCAGCCCGCGCGTCGCGCTCTGCTGCCCCGCGCGTCGCGCTCTGCTGCAGCCCGCACGTAGCACCCTGCTGCCCTGCGCGTCGCGCCCTGCTGCAGCCCGCGTGGCGCGCTCTGCTGCCCCGCGCGTCGCGCTCTGCTGCCCCGCGCGTCGCGCCCTGCTGCAGCCCGCGCGTCGCGCCCTGCTGCCCCGCGCGTCGCGCCCTGCTGCCCCGCGCGTCGCGCCCTGCTGCAGCCCGTGCGTCGCGCCCTGCTGCCCCGCGCGTCGCGCCCTACTGCAGCCTGCGCGTCGCGCCCTACTGCAGCCTGCGCGTCGCGCCCTGCTGCCCCTCGCGTCACGCACTGCTGCAGCCCGTGCGCCAGCGCCCTGCCCTGCGCCAGCGCCCTGCCCTGCGCCAGCGCCCTGCCCTGCGCGCGCTGGCGCCCTGCCCTGCGCGAGCGCCCTGCCCTGCGCCCGCGCCCTGCCCTGCGCCAGCGCCCTGCCCTGCGCCAGCGCCCTGCCCTGCGCGCGCTGGCGCCCTGCCCTGTGCCAGCGCTCTCCTGTGCGCCAGCGCCCTGCCTTGCGCCAGTGCCCTGCCCTGCACCAACGCCCTGCTAAACCCTAAATAAAAATAATTTAAAAAAGAAAAAAAAAAAAAACCCTAGGTGCTTCTGCCCTAGGAGCTTCTTCCTGCTGCTGCATGCTACTGCCCTGCTCTGGCCGCGCGCCGCCCTGCTCTGGTCGCGCGCCGCCCTGTTCTGGTTGCGCGCCGCCCTGCTCTGGTCGCGCGCCGCCCTGCTCTGGCTGCACGCCGTCCTGCTCTGGCCGCGCGCTGCCCTGCTCTGGCCACGCGCCGCCCTTCCCTGACCGTGCACCGCCTCGACCTACCCTAGTGCCTCCTCGCCGCCCTTCCTGCCCTGCGTGCTGCCCTGCTGGTCGCATGACTTCCCTTCACGGCAGCGGTGGGAGTGGTGGCGGCGGTGGCGGCAACGGTGGGAGTGGTGGAAGCCTCAGTAGCAGTCGCTTAGGAGCTGTTCGGTGGGGAGTTTTTGGCGGTGGCCAGATGCAGCTGCAGCGACGTTCGAGCGAGACCCTTATGCGCCAGCAGCTTCGTGAGTGGTACGCCCGTAGGTGTCGTGGCGGCGGCCGTAGTGACAGTCGCGGTGCAGCCAGTCGATTGGGAGTTTTTGGCGGTGGCCAGGTGCAGCTGCAGCTGCGTCCGCGCGAGACCCTTACGCCCCAGCAGCTTCGTGAGTGGTACGCTCAGTGTGGGGGGTCTTTGAGTAGTGCTCGCTGCCAGTACGTCATTCGCACAGGTGATCGGGCTGGTCAGACATGCGGGACACCTGGCCACACACAGTCCCGCTGCTTTTCCTATCTGAGCGACACCTGGCGTGCACAGTTTGGCAACGCGGCTGAGCTCCCCCGCTTGCTAGAGCTGCTTAGGCAGGGCGTCGATGTCTTTGCGCTAGACTATGACGCCATCCTTACTGCCATGTATGCATTGACTGTTAGTGGTGAGGGTGACTGTTACTTGTGTGTGCCGCCCGACCCAGGTATAGAGGCTGCTGCTCTAGGTGCTAGTGAGTCTGCTCTCTCTGGTACTGCGCCTGTTGAGGCCTTGCACACTTTCACGCTTGACTCAGGTGCTTCCCGCTGTTTCTTTCGCGACAGTACCACAGTCACACCACTCCCTGCACCTGTTGCTGTCAGACTGGCTGACCCCTCAGGGGGCCCAGTTCTTGCCCGTTCTACCACTGTTCTCCCGTGTCTGGCAGTTCCGTCCGGCTCACTCTCAGGTCTTCACCTCCCCAAGTTCTCTACGAACTTGGTGAGTACCGCTGCCCTCCAGGATGCGATGGTTGATACCTTTACTCCTGGGGGTCAGCGTGTGTCGATCTGCACGTGTGCACGGACGGGCCGTCACCTGGCCACGTTCACCCATCGGCCTGGGTCGAGTCTGTACACACTGACTACTGAGCCTCCCCAGGTAGCTACTTCTGCGTCCGCGTCAGGTCAGCTTGCGGCCCCCTACTCATGTCACGCCATGTCGCACCAGACTCTCCTATGGCACCACCGCCTTGGTCACCCCTCCCTGCCACGCCTCCGTGGCATGCACTCCCGCTACCTTGTCTCTGGTCTTCCCAGGTCTCTGCCTGCCCTCCCACGCTCGTCTGCCCCGCTCTGTCTTCCTTGCGTCGAGGGGCGGTAGCGAGCCGCTCCTCACTCCTCCTCGTTTCCCCCGACAGAGGCTCCCTTGCAGACTCTTCACATGGACGTGTGGGGCCCAGCCCGCATCTGTGGACAGGGTCGCGAACGATACTTTCTGCTGGTTGTTGACGACTACTCGCATTACACCACGGTCTTCCCCTTGCGCAGCAAGGGGGAGGTCCCTGATGTCTTGATCCCTTGGATCCGCGCTGTCCGTCTCCAGCTTCGCGAGCGGTTCCACTCGGACTTTCCTGTCCTGCGTCTGCACTCTGACAGAGGTGGTGAGTATGCCTCCGACCTCTTGCGGGACTTTTTTCGTGGGGAGGGCATCCGCCAGACGTTCACGCTTCCGGCCTCTCCGCAGCAGAATGGGGTTGCTGAGCACCGCATTGGCTTAGTCATGGAGGTCGCTCGTACCTCGATGATCCATGCGGCTGCCCCCCATTTTCTGTGGCCGTTTGCAATCCAGTACGCTACACATCAGCTCAACCTCTGGCCCCGTGTCTCCTTGCCGGAGACCTCGCCCACACTGCGTTGGACGGGGGAGGTTGACGATGCGTCGGTGTTCCGGGTCTGGGGATGTCATGCCTTTGTCCGCGATTCTTTCGCGGACAAGCTCTCCTCCCGCGCTGTTCCCTGCGTCTTCCTTGGCTTTCCCCCTGACGCGTCTGGCTGGCAGTTTTACCACCCCACCACGCGCCGTGTCTTCCCCTCTCAGGACGTCACGTTTGACGAGTCGGTCCCCTTTTGCCGTCTCTTCCCCTACCGCACTGCCCCTCTCCCCCCCCCGCCGCTCTTCCTTGCTCCAGGTCCCCCCCCGGTAGACCCCCTCCCCCCTCTGGGCCCTGCTCCCTCAGGTGTGTCTCAGGTAGACCCACTCCCCTTGGTTGAGCCTGTCGAGGTCACTGGTGACTCGGGTGCTGCTGGGGGTGCTGAGCCTGCGGGTGCGGAGCCTGGGGGTGCTGAGCGTGAGCGTGAGGAGCCTGGGGGTGCTGAGCCTGAGCGTGCGAAGCCTGGGGGTGCTGAGCCTGCGGGTGCTGAGCCTGAGCGTGGGGAGCCTGGGGGTGCTGAGCCTGAGCGTGCGGAGCCTGGGGGAGCTGAACTTGCGGGTGCGGAGCCTGGTGTTGCTGAGTCTGGTGGTACTACGCCTAGGGGTACTGCTTCTCCACTACGGAAGCCTCTCTCACCGCAACAGCCGCGCGAGTGGTACGCTCAGCAGCTCTGCCTTCGGAGTGTCGCTGCTGGAGAGGGAGGCCTTGGAGCTGCTCGTACTGGAGCTGCCGGAGCTGGTGGTGCTGTTGGTGCTAGTGGTGCTGCCACTACTAGTCCTGGAGGTGCTCGTACTGGAGGTTCTGGAGGTTCTCTCTCTCCGTAGCAGCTACGCGAGTGGTATGCTCAGCGCTGCCGCCTTCGGAGTGGCGCTGCTCGAGCTGGAGGCACTGCGGCTGGAGGTACCGGAGGAGCTGGCACTGCTGGTCCTGG